AACGGATGTCATACCTCTTGGTCTTGAGTACTCAGTGGTTCGTCGGCATCTGACATTACGGAAACTTCTTGATGTATTCCGATGGTCAATTGAGTCTGCACGCCGCATCGATTAAACACATGCGAAAATAAAAGTTAGATTAGAAGAACCTTCTGCGTTTGCGTTTGCGATCTGAGCGTCTGGGGATGAATCATGTAGAACGCGTTGCCAAAGAGGTGTGCAGTAGGGCTTGCAGTGCCAATCTCTCTGTCCGTTCCACGTCCTCTCACGATATGCCGAGTGTTTAAGGTACACATGAACGAAACGGCGTATACTGGAATAGAAACAAAGGTTAGCACAAAAGCGGCCGAGCGGAAGATGGCCCACGTTTGCTCAAAACAAAATAGAAGGCCATAAACAGGAAGTTCGTAGGATACAGATCGTACTGTCCATACGGTCAGGACGCGTTTCGCTGATTTCTGCTTTCTGGACTCACCAATACTAATGTTGTAATGCTGATGGTACTATAAATATGTTCGGATCAGTCTCTAGCACACGACTTTCTCCCACCAACCTTGTCAGAACGCCCGTGTTGATGGCATAAACCGTAAGTCTGTTAACAACAGAGTCCGAACTTATCATCAACTCAGTATGAGTATTCTGCCACCTCAGGATGCAAAACGGCGCACCTCTTGTAACCAGTTCTTAACCTCCGCAAGCACAAGGATAAGGAAACTGCAATGATGATATCAGTCAGGGCCCCAGCGCCCAGCGAAAGTGAAGCCAAAGTCTGTGACCAGAATTAGAATCGCTACGGCATTCGGAACTGATGAGCGCTAACCTTCAAGTTCGAGATGTAAGTCAGTTTGTTCAGCTGAAAACTTATCGATCACATGTCAGAACCTAGGATGGTTCTGTGAAAAAGAACGATATCTTACGCTCGTACGGCATATGCTTTTGTTATCAGGTGGTCAGCACTAGTGTCTTTCAACGGGCCCGAAATTGCAGGTACCTATGGCAAGCCCTGCTCGGAACTCGGCGGTCAGAATGGGCACGAGGGGAATCCTTCTATAGCGTACCGAGTTGTCCATATGTCAGGAAGAGCTGTATCAAGAAATGAATGTTAAGCGACTATAGATATCTTAAACAATGATGTCTTACAATTAAGCATGTAATGGGAAGATTATGTCCGCTGACTGGGTCTTGTTTAGGTACATCCCGAAGAAACAGGACTAAAGATTCTTACATCGCCATACACGCATGGCAAAGCATCTGAGGAAGGAGTCAGTAACCAATGCATGATTGGGTGCACATGTCGTACGTTTTAACAATAGTACCCACTAAGGCCTAGTGAAAGGACATAAATACTTTGCAAGACCGGTGAAATTTGACAGGAACGTACACCCAAAACTAATTGAATCTGTTGAGCAGTCTTTGTGAGCCATCGATATTAGGTGAAGGGGATTGCTTACAATAAGTGACCATATCACGTCCCCAAACAACATAACTTGCGGCGACATATAATTTCTAGTGGTCTCTGTTAGTCGAGCGTTATGGTGCAAGCTTTGCCACACACGATATCGTATAATAATACACGCAATGCCCAATAAACGCCTGGTCGACTATTTCTAAAACCCTATACCCAGGAAATCAACGGATCTGCGCATAATCGCGAAAATCACCTGCATACCAAATTGCCGCCACCTGTCCACGAGCACAATTAACTGGTTGTAGCTTCGGAAGAGGGATGTCGTCGCACCAGAAGTTTATATGCAGGTAAATCGGATGGATACCGCCGAAAATATGAAAAAGCCTGCACGCACAGCGCCCCAATTATTGCACAAGATACACCAAACCCGATGAATGCTGCGCCAAGAGTGGAATCGACACGGATAGGATTAGACATGCTGAGGTGGAGGGGAGGATGGGACAGTATCGGAGGGAAGGATGAGGAACGGGGTGCTGGCGACTGACCACAAGTTGCAAGAATCCCCCGCTTATGGAAGTCGCTATATATGCCTTGCCAAGTGCCGTGACATCAGGGTCCGGGAACAATGTATTAAAAGTATTTCACACTAATCGAATTCGAGAAACTTTCGGTGACGTCCTCGATGGCAATGAATCCGTGTGTCAGTCTTCGGGGCGTCGGTCATTAAGCAGTAGGAGCTGGAGCGCTTAGTTCCCGAGTCTTGAATACTGCAGCATATACGTGAGTCATCGTCACCGCAAATTTACCAGTTGGGAAGCCGATGCGTCAAACGGATCTGACTCGCAGTGACCCAAGTACTACCAACCATATTCACAGTTCTGGTATGATGCGAGATGATGCGTAGACCGGGGGCAAAGAAACGCCTCCCCCCCGGCTCGTGGGACCCTACGCACACCATACCGAAGAAGAGGAGACAACTGACAAACGAAAATGAATAGAAGCAAGGGAAAAGTCACGGATTTTCCTCTTTCTGACCCGGAATAATTGACTTCTGAAGTCGATAACATATCCGAGGCCTGGATGGTGGGTACAATCTTAAGCTGAGAAAATGCAGACCGCATGCCACATGGCGTGTATCACCGCACAGAATCCGCTTTACGAAAGGTATGTTAGAGTGCCCCGAGCAGCTCATGAAACGGTGTAAAATATATCTGGACATTACGCTTTGCGGTTAAAGTCAGTCATCATGCATTCATGATTCGCTTTTTTTGTGAGCAAAATCTTTCCGACTGGAGCGCTCTAACTCTGAGACGCGGATTAACCATGGGTCTTCAGGTGTGAAAAGGTAACTGGAAACAGTGACTCACGAAGTATCTACATGTTTTGGCCGTAAGCTGATGACAAGGCACCCACTCTGACCCCGCATACTTCGAGGGGCGCTGGGAAAAACAAAAGATGATCTTGACGCCGCTAAATCCAATGATCTGAGTGCGGGAATCCTAGACCGGTGCGCGCGCGGTAGAAACAAGAATGCATTGACTACTTTAAAGAATATCTATCATGATGGTCAGATCAGACGAAAAGAAACAAGGTAGAAGCTGCGCACCTAACATATACCTTATTGCTTCTTCATGTTCTTCCTCACGACACTCCTATCGCTCCTCACACGTGTTGATTTTGAAGTGCTTGTTTTGCGCGATGAAGCTGACGATGGTTTCTTTCGTACCCTATCGCGCTCTTTCCCTTGCATTTTCACTCCGTCCTTATCCAACGCTATTCTCGCCTTCTTCTTTGCGAGGCGTCGTGCCACACGGTCGGCATCGGCGGACTTGACGTGTTTGCGGGCCTCCTTGGTGAGGTGAACGAGTCTGTCGCCTAATGAAGGGTCACCAGCGGGTATTGACGGCTGGACTAAGTTCTTCGTTCCCGCGGTGACCGAAGTAGTGGTACGGCGTCCTCCTGGTAGCGTCTTGCAGCGTTGCACACGCAACTTGCGTTTAGCGAAATCGAGCTTGGTTTCTTCCAACGCTAGAACTTCGTCGACGCATTGTCGGTCCTGGTCGTAAGTTTAAGTCATCTGAGCAGATGGAGAATGAAGAGATACTCACAGTGAATTGAACGTACGCGAACCCTTTCCCAAGCTGAGATTCTTTGTCTCGAACAATCCGAACCCTGGTCACCCACATGGACAATTTCTTCACATCCCCATCTTTCTCGTTGCTGTTGGCTGGCGGACCACGCTCTCCTGTAACAAGTGTTTCGAAAAACACCCGGAGATCTTCCTCTTTGCTTCCAAAATCCAGATTACCGACGAACACTGACGACTTGGGATCGCCGTCAACCGAGTCGCCGCCATCTTGAAAGTTTGTTCTGCCAACGAGATCCACACGAAGAACACGATCCATGAAGGTCGAGCCGTTGCATACGTCAGCCGCTAAGCGCGCCGCTTCGTATGGGTCGAGCGTAGGAGGCAAAGGGGGGAGATTGGATGGTCTATTTTCTGGCGGAACCGGGTGGGCGAAAACGATGTAAGCATTGGTGAGGTCGGCGGAGGAGTGGAAATCATGATTGATGAAAGCGATACGTTTCTTTTGGCTCGGTGTAAGAAATATCTTTTCATCATTTTTTGTGGAGTCGTCTTCGTTGTTGTCTCTCCATGACGAAGCACGATCCTTTCCATGCTCTCTGCCTTTCTTTGCTTTCCCCGGTGTCTTTGTCTTTTTCTCGGAGACATCATCCTCAGGAAGTTTAGACGTGGGAGTCTGAAACGCGATAGAACGAAAACGAGTGGATTCGATTTTTGCATTGGGAACCAGACCAATAATATGTCGGTGTAACTGTTTAAGCACAGACTGCGGGTGACCATGAGAACGGGTCGACATCAAGAGAAGGCGTGCAACGCACTTTTTTTTGCGCAACTTCGATAGACAAATTTCCAACGAAGATCGTGCGTAAATCCCGTTGGTCCTGTGTCTCATCAGAAGGAACGAATTTACGCTTCTGACTGGCCCGACCAGTAGAAAGAGTAGTCTGAGTTATCGATTCGTGAACAAGGTTCGAGGGATCTTCGTCTGACTCGGATTCGCCATCCTTCTCAATTTGAACTTTTTTCGTCTTCGCGTAAGTATCTTCCAGTTCGTCGTCGCTCTCGTCGCTGTCGATGGCGGCCTCTACTGTATGCTTCGCAGTCTTTTGGTTTTTTTTAGGCGCTTTGCCTTGCTTCGCGGACTCGAACGAGGTAGATTTCGGTCGCTTCGTAGAAACAGTAGGTTCTTGTTCGTGTTTACGTTTCTTCGAGGTGATTTCGGTGACATTGCTTTTGGATGGCACAGATATAAGTGGGGGTTTCGTAGGCTGTTATGGTGTGAAGACAGATGCTCCAGTCAGAGAAGAGCACTTACATTTGATTGGAATAGGGCATCGAGTTCCGCATCTATATGCAGGCTGCCAGAAGAGAGAAGCAAAGAATTCAACGTCATGGTGAAAATACGAAAACAAGCCGGACAATACTGACCAGTAGCTCAGTATGGAAAGATGTAGTACCTGGGTTCTTTGTCATGATAAAGAACCTAAAACAAGCATTTATAACTATGGGCGTTTAGCGCAGTGGTAGCGCGCATGCTTTGCATTGTGACGTGATTCTACGTGAATTATGTAACCAATTGTATGAGGTCCAGGGTTCAATCCCCTGAACGTCCATCTTTTTATTTCCCTTTCAAGTATGCAACCTAACTGCTCGTCGCTCATGAGGGCTGCCCACGAAGCCTCCAGGGGGTTTTGATACCATTTTATACCCACCCTGCTTGGGGGTTTCTTACTGGTATGGTAATTTACTGTTTCTTACTGGTCATGTGACCATTCAAGTGACCACCAGGAAGTTGTTTTTCCAACTTCTTCTGTACCACACTGTGACACTCTGCTGCCCCATTGTCATACCTCAAATACTCATGAACTCTGTCCCAATACCTATCAGAACTCTCTGGCTACATCTTCTTACTTATTACTGTTCTGCCAACTGAAATCACAAAAACATTGGTGGTAATATTGTCACATGGTTGGTAAGTTACTGCAATGAAATATGCTCCACTGACCTGTGGTTTCTTACCAGTTTCTTACCGGTAACTTACTGGTCCAAAACTGGGAGTTTTGTGTGCAATCCTATCACTCATTCTCTATTTTGGACATTTCCATTATTGCAGGGCCTAGCCATTCAAGAATTCTCCACTGTATGAGGTGCATGCCATTGCTATGAGTTCCTGAAAATTTAAAAGAAGTCTTGACACTCTGAGTCCCTGACAACTGTCAGGGGGTTTTGTAAGTGTCAAGAAATATATTGATACTGTTCTCTCCACAGATAGCTCCAGGGGGTTTAATCCCCTGAGGGTCAAAAAAGATGTATGGCATACAGCAACAATGCACTCAGACTCTGCAAACCAGATGTGACTATATATGAGTGTCTATGTGAGTGTCAAATATTTGTGGTGCTTACCAATCTGCTTCTATATATCACCAACTTCTTCTGCTATCATGTCTCATCCTTCTACACTTTGGTGCAGAGTTCAATCCTCCTGACTTGGGTTGTTTGGAAGTGAGGGCTCATTCAATACAGTGTTTCTGCAAGGGGTTGGAGGTCCAAAAAGAGGTGTGGCACACAGCCACACATCTGCAAACTAGACATCATGTGAATGTTACATGTTTGTGCTGCTTATAAATGCACTCACCATCTAGCATAGTGGTTTTCTCCTCTCATATACCAACCTCTGCTTTGTCTCTGAGCTTATGCTCTCATCCTTCAAAGTTGAGTACGGTGTTTCATATCATGAGTAACTGTGACCTTTGGTGCATTCTTGGCCTGGGTCACTCTATAGTCACTGCATGATTTTCCTCCACAAATCCTCAGCCAAGATGATACTTGCACAAACAACTAGCTGGTCTGGGTTTTGCACATCTGCCGGTGCCCCAGGATGCTTATTCTATCTATTTTCTGAAACCAAGTGGTTACTGCCCTTGCTTAAAGGCAAGGTCTGAGGTAGCTTAGTGAGGATGACTGGGGCATGGAATAAGAGCAAGCCCAGTTGTGGTGGGTGTGAGCAAGGCTGTTGGGGTCCAGCTAGAGGGAACACACCAGATATACTTGGGATACACTCATGTAGAATTTTATCATAGACTGCTAGTTATGAAAATACATTGGGTATTTTTCATCACAAATTATAGGATGAGACTAATCATACCAAATTGGTGGATACTCATCTAAAAAGTCCTGAACATGCTAGGCAACTTTAGCATCACTAAAGATGTTGATGACATTGTCAAGTGAGCTTGCACCCAATTCATACTTGAGCGCTAGTCATGTAGCATCATTCACCCTAGACAACTCATTACAGACCTGGTCCAGGAGGCCATCAAATAATATGCTTTGTTTACATTAGATCCCTCCATTGTTCCAGTCCCAGGTGCAGTCTATCAAGACTATAGCACCAAACTGTGTGATAGGTGAGATTGGAAAGCAACCAGACAAAAGAAAACATACATGTCTGTATAGTTTGAGTAGCTGCTTCTTTGATGCCATCATGCATCAGTGGTCTTTCCAGAATTTGGTAAGGATCACCTTAACAACCTTTTCCTCCTTCTCCTTTTCATCTGTTGCATTCTCCTAACAGCTGTATTATTGCTGCTTCCAGCATTGCTTCTCAATAAACTCACTTTTCTATTTCCTTGAGCCCTTGCCTGTGTCTTCTTTCCACACTGAAACAAATTTGAACATCTCAATGGTGCAGATGATGTACTCAAGCAAAGACTCACTACTCATTACACTGGTCTGCAACTCCAGGAACTGACAAAAGGTCAGACACATCAACAAGTCACAAGTATGGCATCTTACATCATTTATCACCTCCAGCCTTTTATGCACATTATTGTTCTTGCTAAAAGGACAGAAAGAGGCTCACCCATTGCTGTGTTTGGTTGTTGTACCCATGGACAAGATGCTTGAAGGCTTCTTTTTCTCATTGATCTTGATGCACAACTCTGGAAAATGAAAGCAAAGCCACTTTAAAGTCCAAAGCTTTCAGTGTTGGCTGGTCAAAACATGCAAATATTGCCTTGATGCACTTTTCCTTACCAGTAGTGAGCACATGTGGCTGTCCAGCACCCTCTTGCCCAGCACCATGCCCACAAGGTCTAGCTCTACCTTCAGCTCAGCACTGGCAATATTGCTCCACAGTTTCTGCACATCCAACAAGCTTCTCTTTGACATGCTCCAAAAGATCATTTGGCTTTTTAATTGTTCCAGGAGTTGCATCAGGTGGGATGGGCAGTAAAGCAGCAAGTGACACTTTAACCTCCTGGAGTTGAGCACATAATTGGGTTCCAGGTGAGTGTTCTATGGTAAAAATGAAGTGGATAATTACCTGCCTTTGGCAGTGCTTCCTTTTCTGTGCCCTTAAATAGTTGCACATATATTCTCTCTACTGCAATAGACTCTCCTCCAGCTTCTGCTTTTGTCCCTGCCAAAGGCCTTCCTAGTTATTTGTATAGGAGAGATTTATTCCACAACCTGATGAGCCTCTCCCTCCTCCTGACTTGAATACTGACCCTATCACTTACCCCTATGTACCCCTGTCAATCAACAATAAACCTGTTGCTGCTCCCAACCTCTTATTCAACCCTGCAACTGCTGAAGCTGCAACTAAATGTGGTAAATTCCAGGCTGATACAGCACTATGCCAAATGGCTGACAAGAAGGATGTTGACATTGACAAACTTTTCAAAGAGCTGATGGAAAAGTCTGACAAGTTTAACAAGACCATGGTTACTTCCTCTGAAAGCTCCTCCACTAAGAAAGCTCAATTGGGAATGGAGGGCAAGTAGGTGGATTGTGTTTTTTCTAATGTCCCATCTGAAAATGCTTGGGATCCTGCCATTATTGCTGTTGTCAGTCCCAAGTTTATGTTTTGACTTGTAAGTTGCCTGTTTTTCAACAAATCTCATCATTCTCATTGTGTTTATATGTGCATACTACACAACCCTGAGCTAAAGGGAAGAAAGTCATCAAATCTCATACACTTGTATGCTTTATGAACCTCTTCCTCCATTTGATTCTATGATACACAACAGATCCTGTCACAAAGCCACAAAATACAACCTTTTTCAAAAACTAAAGGATCAAGTTCAAATTGTAAGTCAGTTCTTCTTTCAACCATCCACCCTCCTCATCTGTTGTCTAGTCATCTTCCATCTAAAGCTCAATCACTACTTTGACAGACAATGGTTTTTTGGATGCCTGTAGATCCAACTTGTCATTGATACTGCAACAAAGAGTCCATCAACAAGGCTGGTGAAGATCAGCACTATTATGTGGGTATGTCACCTTTCTGTTCTTCTCAAACTTTTCTCATGACTGGATAAGATCCTTTTTTCCTTTTACATGACCAGACCATTCACACTTGGGCCCATGTGGCACAAATATTGTGACCTAGGATTTGTAAGTCACTCTTTTTTCTTCCCATTCACATGGTTTACCTTGTATCTTTAGTACCTGAAACTGGAAAATCTTAGAGTTTACTGCAAGGGCTACATGAATTTTACCATCACTGTCCACTTTAAGAATTACAAGGGTAATAACAAAGCTCTTAGAATCAAGCAATGTTTTTTTCTCAACTCAGTAACAAAGTCACAAAATATCTTCAGCTAATGTTTTTCTTATCCAGATAGTGGAGAAATGTTTGCATTCAAAGGATTGGAGTACAGGCTTGATCCTGCAAAGGGCCAATTTGCTCTGTATGTAGTATGCAGCTGTGCATTAAATTGTTAACCTTTCTCCCTTCTCTCCAGCTTTCCCAAGGCAAAGCCTGGAGGGTGAGAGTTTATCATTTCATTCCAGCCATGCTCATCTGGAGGGATATCTGAGTTGATTGGCAGCCTCCTGACTGCTGCTGGATTGTCAATGGCTGGAGAATATGCATTTCACCAAGAGGCTGGTAATACATATGGCCTGATGTTCTCAGCCCATATCACTTGTGATATCCTGAAACATGTATAAGATGGCTGCTTTTGGGAATACTATTTTCATGATGCTGAAAATAATAGTACCTCTGTATGTTAGATTGTCTTACTTTGCATAACATACAACTCACTGTCTCTGAAAAGATGCCTGTTAATGAGCAGGACTATCTTTCAGCTGCTGTATAGGCAGTCATTCAATGGGGTAAAGAACCTGAGGTATGTTCCACTTTCCTAAGTCATTTCTCCTTCTAACCAGGATAATTAGCAGGTGTGCTGGAAGGGTGCAAAAGCAAACAAGGACACCTACATTATGGTATGTCATTTCTTGCTATTCCATCAGCCCCTTGGATACCAAAAGTTTATCAGACAGTTGACTGTGTTGTCATTGCCAAGCAAGCACTTGATGAAGCCTGAGAAGCCTACTATGCTGTTTTCACTGAACGTGCTCACAAATATAATCTATGTCCAGAAAACATTGAGAGGCTTTATGACATTGCTACAGGTGCTTGTCCAGCAGCTAAATATAAGGCCTTTCAGCTTGCAGAGGGCTTAACACAGGATAATCTTGAAGCAGTATGGTGAAGAGACATCTGCATGCACAAAGCTAGAAATGCAACAGCGTCGAAGACACTGATCACACCCACACCTAACACTACACACACAAACACACTCTTTAGTTCATGGTGAGATTCTAA